AAGGAGGAGGAGTCAAAAATGGTTCAGATTGTAAAATCTGAAGGAGGAGGAGTCAAAAATGGTTCAGATTGTAAAATCTGAAGGAGGAGGAGTCAAAAATGGTTCAGATTGAAAAATCTGAAGGAGGAGGAATCAATGGGGTGTCAATCATAAAGTCAGAGTCATAGGTGTCTAAGAGGGAGGCAGAACAGTACCTGTGACACTAGAGCAGACTAAAAAGGATCCCTTGGTGAGGCTCCGTCTGTTGTGGGCAGGAGCATCAAAGCTCCCAGGGTTCAGAGGCAGGATCTAGGATCAGCCACTAACCTTGAGCATCTGACTTTGTAAGAGACAGTAGTAACCACAGGCGTGGATTTCTCACACAGAACCAGATAAACCATTTTCTGAGATCCTGGTAAGAGCAAAAACAATTAATTTAAAGAATCATTTCGTAGGGCAAAGGAGGAAAATACTGAATTACTTTATAACAGAACTGGTTAAGACTGCTAAAAAAGAAAGAAAGATTATATCCTTAAAACCTACCCATCACTTTCAGAATATCATCCTCCATAGGAAGACAGTGTCAGACATGCTACTTTGGTTGGTGGGGGAGTTATTGCAAATCTGTGTCTCATAGAAACTTCTGTAGATTTTCAAACACGACTAAGAGGACATCAAAAGACACAAGTGTGTTATCTCCCCTCCACATCCTTGTTTTGTGTTTTCTTTTTATCCCTGAGCCATAATAAATGACTTCTTCTGGACCCACAGTTTGTAGTTGGTGATTGGAATCAGTCCTTTGGGCTCAACCTGCATCTTTTCTCCAACACTATCAAGAAGCATTTCTTGAGGGTCAGGGGGAGAATATGGTAGCTTAGAAAAGTGTAATATTTAATGTAAAACGTGGTGTCATGTGCTGAAAAGATCACACAGCTCAGAGCTAAGGGGTCTTGGAATCATTTAGTTCAAATTAGTCATTTTGTGGAAGAGTTTGGACCAAGCAAACACAGGGGACATGGGAAGACGAGGACCTATCAAAGATAGAAGGAAAGATGGAAGTGAATACAGGGAGACTGGAGGGTGTGGTAGGTGAGTGGGCAAGAGTGAAGATGCAGAGAGGAGGGTGAGTCAGAGGTAGAGCTGGTGGTGAAACAATTGACCAAAACAGGGAGGACCAGAGAGGAAGAAGGTAGGAGTGGAGGGTAAAAAAAAGTTGAATTCATTTCTGAAGAATTTAATGTGAAAAGCCAAGGAACTGGAAAATCTAACTGAAAATTTCAGAACCTGAAAACAGAAGGTAGATCCCAATGGATGTCAGATAAAATCTCAGGGAAGCACCCAATAGCAAGTCCCAGATGCCCATGACAGTCTGCAGTACTTTATAGCCTCTATTGGCCAATGAGAGCTAAGCGCGATGTCTGTCATGTCTATAGTCCATGCGAAGGGAAATGCCACAGATGTCAGAAACAATAGAGAAAATGGCCAAGACAAAAAGAAGAAATGAAACTAACATGAAATGTACCAAGGGTCAGTGCCAAGTCCTCCTCTGTCCTAAAATTGATTGCACAACTACAGAATTAATAAGAAATAACAACACTAGAAGCGCTATTATCATTTTTGAATCCAATAATTATCATTTGCCAGTGTCATGATGTATTAATTGCTTTGTAGGACAATTTGTTTCATTCTTACAATAGCCCTATGGTATTGGTACTGTTATAATTTTTGCCTTACAGGTGATGAAACTGGGGCCAGCCAAGTAAACTTGCCTAACATCACAAAAACCTGGTCTGTCTGACAAAAACCCACTGTATTCTTTAAACAATTAGATAAAGATTGGGGAAGCCTGATTTGACCAGCCTTGTGCCAAAGACTTTCTCCACTTATTAAAATGAATGTGTATGTGTCCGTGTGTGATACAAAGAAAAAGACCCAAGCACAAATGATCAGTTAACAGGGAGGCTGTTAAAAATGTTAAATTTCAAAAAAAAAATTAAATTTCATTTTTAAATTAGTTTCAGTAATCTGTAAAGGAATTTCAAAGTGATTCAGGGTTGTAGATTTTGAAATGCTCACCTAGTACCATGGTGCTTTTATGCTTGTTGGGATGTTTGCTGTTGGAGAGTTGAGAACCTAGGTCAACCTAGGTTGAGTTTGTAATGATGTCACTACCTTATAAGACTCAAGGAGAAATTATGGCTAAGAACCAAGAATGAGATCCAGGGAGTCTGTGAACTTCTATGAACAAAGAGGCCTTCTTCACAGGGTGCCTCGGTGAGGGAGAAGCCATAGAACTGTACTTTGTTCACACACACTTGCCACCTCACCCTTCTCAGCTCAGCTCTGAAACTCTCAGGGTGAGTCCTCATCCCCAGCATTGCCCCTGGAAGCCTTTCCTGTCTCCCACACATTGAAAATCCCTTTCTCCTCCCAATTCTGTCTGCCCTCCTTTCCTGAGTTCACTCTGCTTTCTCCTCTTTCTAGTCATTCCTTCTGCCTCCAGTCTCTTTCCAGCCCTGGAAATACACTACCTGGGTTAGGCTCATCCCTTTCAACCCCTTTCATAGACACTCAGGTTTGTTGTTGGTTGGTTGGTTTTGTTTTGCTTTGATAAATATGAAAGAATATAAACATTGCTCTCCATTTACATTGCTATCTGGTGCCAAAATATTACAGGTGGGCAACTTTCTGAATTGTTATTAACCAGTCAGGAGAGAGGACACAAGCCACAGAGAATAAGCATTTCATCATCAATTCCTCACCATGTCAAGTATTTACAGAAAATATTTTATGTAGAGTTTGGAGTCTGCTGTGTTTACAATCCTATGCTCTTTGAAAAGTTCCACGTCAACAGTGGACATTTTATAAAAACAAGCTGATTCTGTATAGACAACTTAGTAACCAAGTGGGGAAAACATGGCTTCGCTCTAAGCAGATGAATGCAGTGTGTGATTATCTGCAGCGTAATTTTGGTCTTCTAACCTATAATCTATGATTTCATATTGCTTATTGCCCACTCCATGATTAGGCTGGACTTTGTCCCAGAGAGAGGGATCATAAAATAATCTATTCTATTGCTCTTTGTTTCAATTCCATTGGGATTTCCTGAAGCAGATTATGAGATTGTGTAGCCTTAGATTGGGGACCTTTGGAACCTCTGTTCATACAAGCCCTGAGGCCCAGTTAGTTCTTCACCATCTCATTTCTTCCTGTCTTTCCTCTTTCTATTCTTACTGCTGTGCCCAGGTGAGGCCTACAACTCCAGATGCTTGGGTTCCTTAAGTTCCAGCACCCCAGTATCCCTACCTCTAGCTTCCTTCATCCAATCCTTCCTGCCCACCAACAGCACAACTGTGCCCCAACTCCCTATGGTTAGATTGCTCACTGTCCTTTTCCAGTTGTCCCCACCCTACAGGACCAACTTATCAGGACCCTCTCGCCCTAGATGTCCTGCTTTATAACGTCTGCTGGGCAGAATGCTCCTTACTGTCACGTCACACTGGTGGATCTTTCCTCCCTCAGCATGTAATTATCTTACCCCAAATTCTCTATCTTCTTTTATCTAACCTGCCTCTCAAAAGCCCAGTTCTTGAAGCATCTTCTCTATGGAAACCTCTCTGCTACTCTAACCCTTTTCTTTATTCCTGAGGTTCCTTACTACTTCTACCCAGTTACCTCCCCTTTGGTGAGGAGTATAACAAAAGACCTAGGGTGGTCTTGGAGCCTTCTGACCTCCATCCATACTAAGGTCTCTGTGGCTCTTATCAGCACGCTCTGGAAATGGCTGACCAGCTTATGCTGCCTGCTGGTCCTGTACCCTAGTACATTTCAATCTGCCTCTTACCAAGCCTCTTTGGGGTAGAAGACCCATACGTTAATGATAAAAGGCTGTCCTTCTGCCAAATCCAGGCTCATGGCTCTTCTTGGGTTAAACACTGCGATTCTCTATCTCCTAATTATTTTAGGCAACTCATCAACTACACACAGCATATCACCAAAACAAAAGTTTATCAATCTGCAGTTGGAATATGACACCTCCTCCTAAATACTAAAAAGTTCTAGTCTCCAAAAGCCCAGTCTCCAAAATACCATTATAGTGAGACAAAGAGACCTTCAAAATCAAAATTTAGGAAGTCACCTTTTCCATGGTTTCTGACTCGTGCCCTTAGTCCATTATTTTTTTCTAAGTAGATTTTTAAAAATTTACTAAAGCTAGTTTTAAATTTTTTTGTTTCTTATTATTATTAGTATGTGTATGTGTGTATGTGTGTGAGAGAGAGAGAGATATGTTTGTATGTATATGGAATGTGGTGTGTGTGTGTGTGTGTGTGTGTGTGTGTTGGGGGGTGCATGTGCCATGGTGCACATGTGGAGGTCAGAGGACAACTTTGCGGAATCAGTTTTCTCCTTCCACTTTTACGTGGGTTCCAGGATGGAACTCAGGTTGTCAGACTTGGACACCAAGCGCCTTACCCACTGGACCATTTTGCCAGCCCCTAAATCATTTTGTAAAAAGATAACTGTTGTACTGTCATGAGGACATGGGAAAGGCAGATACAGTTCCCCAATAAACTTAGGATAAACACTCACATGATGAATAAGAGACAATAAACGATGCAATGCTTACAGCTATCTTTAAAGTTCAGCAGCAATCTGTGGGTGCAGACTCAGTTTTAGAGAAATCTTCCTTGGCAATTTGTCCTATTGAGACCCAGAAAGCTGGCCTTTGGAGGCATGTGGGCCCTTAGTTTTTCTATTTTGTTTTCTCTCTAGAGCTTCACCCTTTATCCTCTCTATCTTCACCCTTTACCTATGCTGTCTAACTGCCAAAAACCAGTTAGAGCAGGCCCACTAGCTCCTACATATTTCTTTAAAAACCTACTCAACTTCCCCATAGCAATTGCCACCCACTGAAGTATTCCAGGGTCTTGGTACTTCTGAGAAGCCGTAGGAGCATTGGGGAAGAAAGAAGAACAGGGTATAAGGATCTGATGGGGCAATCTTACCGCAGCTTCTGGCTGGCAGGAACAGTTATCTTATTAAGCTTGTCCATTTTTCTTCATAACAGATGTGGGTCGCTGTCCACAGGGAGCGTCAGTAGTTCCTGGCCTTCTTAGGGAACAGCATGGTAAGGCTCTGGGCTCAAGGGCTCCAGCCACTGGATCTGACTTCAGAAAGCAACCGCAGGCTGCTGGCAAACACCCCTGTGCTAGGGAAGTAAAACTTGCTGGAGCGCATAGTCAAGTTTCATGTTTCTACGAGATCATGTGATCCAGCTTGTCAGCCAACTTGGCTGATTACTGTGCATTGTGTAAACTTCAGTAGCGAAACCTATTGGGCATGCAAATATCTTTCCAGCTGCTTTCTTTTATGATCAGGTTTGTTACCAAGTTGGAAAAAGCTTCCGGCTGGGCACTATTTCCTGTTTGCCCCAAACACATAGATAGTCCCTGCTTTCAGCAGTTGGCCAGTTGTCACCAGCCGTGGCTCAAGGAAAAGCCGAATAATCAATTGCATCTGAATATCTTTTGGGGACTTTCTGCTCGTTTGCATAAAGTCGTGGATTAGCTTTTTCCACTTAGAGAACTAGGATGTGAAATGGAATTTTTGTGGTGCTTTTTCTTCCTGGTCTAGCGGAGTGCAGGGTGGGAGGACCACAGCAGGACCACGGCAGGAGCAGTTCACTTGGACTTGAAGTCTCTTCTCCTGGAGGGCTGTTTAAAAAATGCGAATGGCAATTCTTTGTGCAAGGTCAAGGCCATTTAGGGGGTAGAGATGGATGACCCAGAAAAGGGGAGATGATCTTCATCATAAATTGTGTGGAGTCAGGAGTTGCCTGCTAAGAGCCTGATGGTATCAAATAAAACCAAGATGTACTCTAAAGTCAGCTGAGAACAAACCCAGTAATTTCCCAACATGCAATTCCAGCACCAGGTTGATGCCTCCTGGTATCAGAGCATCGTTTCCCTCCATGGTTTTGCTTCCTCCTGCCCATGGCCCCTGCTCACTTCATCTTCAGACTTAGTGACATGCCAGATGTGGGGACACCCCAAGTACGGTGAGGGCAGAGAAGGGAACCACACCTGGAGCCTCTGTCCGAAGTATCCCCACTTCCTCTACCTGGTCTGCAAGTCTCTTGATTTGTCTGTGATTAAAGAGCAGAAGGCAGTTTAGGGTCAAGGAGTAAGAACATGAGAAGGCACAGAATATTATTCCTTTTGTACCTGGACACACTTGCCTGCTGCCATCAGGAATGCCCCATCACCTTTGTGAGAGCAGATGAATGTTTCCCACAGTACCAAAGGGCCAGCCCTCTCCTGGGTCTGAAGAATGCACCAGTTAACTCTCCTGTTACAACCCAAGGCTTGGCTGATGAGAGAAGAGAGAGCAGGTAGAGGAGGGAGGAGGAGAGGCCGTAAGCAGAGATGGATTTCTTCCCTCCAGACCTTTGTTCAAACAGAAAGTTTTTTTCTTCTCTAGGTCACCTTGACTACCACATTCATACACTGTATCTGAGTTTCCGCCGGATGCTCAAGAGAAGAATCTTCAGAGCTATTGAAGGGTGTGGTCTTTCTGCTTGGTCAGGCTACTGACTTGGCCAGGATGGTAGGAGAATAGACAATCTTTCATTAGCAGAATGCAAGAGCCTGCTTTCTCTAACGGTTGGCTTTCCCCAGTCAGACAGCTCAGTCTTCTTGCAGTGCATCTGGAAGGAGCACTAGTCTCCTGCCCCTCTTCCTCCACAGATCTTAACTGAAAGAAACCCGGAAAGCATGTATGATGTCATTAGGATCAGGAGAGCTGGACTTCATCCAGTGGAATGATAATAGCCTTGTGTTCCTTCTGAATTATTGTAAGATACTCCCATCAACCTCTTGACTTTCCTTTCCACCAACTCGGCTCAACACCTGGCCTGGCAACTTCTTATTTCCCTAGAGAAAAAGATAGGGGCAGGAGTTACACTTCTGCTTTTTCTTTTTACAGCCACTTGTCTTTCTTCTTTTTACTGTGTTGAGTTTGACATGATGAAAACGAGAGTCTGCTTTTCCAGACTGGACATTTTGCCCACGTGGTGTGTAATGCGATAGCCTAATGTTCCAGGCCTACCACAACGGCTCTGCAGCTGTCACTGTTTGCCAAGAAGGGCAATGCAAGAATGGAAACTGATGGCACCAAATCTTAGCTTCTGACTTCTTAGCGGAGTAAGATGGCACAGCACGGTTCTACAGCACAGACCAAGATGAGAACTCAGACAGTCTACAACAGCGGGTATGGAAATTACATAATCACTAGATTAACAGATGACAAATAGCCAATTCCAATCTCGAAGAAAATTTGCAATTCAAATGCACCACTGACCAAATTATAAGGTGCAATCACTTTGGAAACAGTTTGATGTTATCTAATAAATTTGATAATGTACATATGTGTGACCAGCATAGGTAATAAATCTGTAGGGCATGCCTAAATATATATACCAAGGTCACATGTAAGAATTATTATAGTACTGTTTCTCCTTTCTTTTTTCAGTACTGAGGATAGAACTTAGGGCCTTGTATATGCCAGGCAAATGTTGTACCACTGAGCCACATCTCCAGATTTGAAATGTTATTTCTAATGGGAAAGAAAAGTCATATTCATGAATAGGAGCAGTATTCAGCAGCGATAACCAGTGAACTCCAGTTACATCACTATGGATAAAAAGCAAAAATAATCTGAGCACTAAAGGCAAACTGAAGAATTTAATACATGGGCCACTGAAATGACTCAGTGGGTAAAAGCACTTGCTGCCAAGCCTGATGATCAATGCCCAGAATCCACATGGTATAAGGAGACAACAACTCCCAAAGTTGTCCTCTGATCTTTTCATGTGAGCTACAACATGTGAATGTGTACACATGCATACACACAGATAATTAATGTTCGTTAAAGGCTAATGCTACATGATTCCATTTACATTAAGATTAGACATATAAAATTAGATAATATTTTTTGGTCTTTTTGAGACAGGGTCTCTCTGTAGCCACACCTGGCCTGGAACTTATTATATAGACCAGGCTGGCCTAGATGTCACAGAGATCTGTCTGCCTCTGCCTCCTGAATGATGGGATTCAAGGCATTCACCACCATATCTGGCTAAAATTAGATAATGTTTAAGATACATACATACATGATAAAAACCAATGACCAATGGAGGGAATAATAAAAATTCAAGTGAATGATTACCGAGGACTGTGGTTGAGGTTAAGGAGCACACAGGGCTTCTAGGCAATGGTAATATCCATTGTGAATGAGTATGTGTGTGTAAGCCAGAAGACCACCTCATATGCCAATCGCTTAGGCACTGCCTACCTTGGTTTCTGAGACAGGGTCTTTTACTGGGACTCAGCAGTTAGGCTGGGCTGGTTGGCCAGCAAGCCCAGGGCTCTGCCTATCTCCATCTCCCCAGAGCTAGGCTAGCAAGTGCTACCACATCTGGCTTTTTTACCTGGGCTCTGGGGATTCAAACTCAGGTCCTTCTGTTTCTACAGCAAGTACTTTACTAACTGAGCTATCTCCACAGTTACCACATCTTATTTCTTGAGTGACAGGTATTAGTGTTTATTGCATTGTTACTATTTCTCATTCATAGATATTAAATATTTAACCAAAATTTAAAAAAGATCTAGTTTAGAATTATTGAAGAAAGCCAAGATAGCACGCTTAAATCTAAGTCAGCTCTGTGAGAGGATGAGGTTTGAAAACAAGAAGACAGGTAGTATCAGAGCTTGGTGGTGAGACCCAAGCAACCCTGGTGGCTCCTGGGTACTTTCTCTTGCATCTGTGGATGACAACTACAACATAATGTTTATGAATGCTTTCTTTGTTTCCTGTACTGTGAAGACAATGGTTTTTCTTGTAAAAAGGTTAATTCTCAAGTTAAATAACAGGTTTGAAGTTCTGCCCATTGTCCACAGAAGAGCTGGGACTCAGACCCAAGTCTGTTTCCATATCCTAAACTGCTTCCTTAGTCCAAAGCCAATCAGAGGACTCTGTCATTGTAAGACAGATCTGTGATTCAGCCAGAAAACAGTGCTCTGGCATCAAGGTACCCACGGCCTTGGGAGAGACACTTGGCCTTCCCTGACTTCATTTACTCACTTTTAGAGGACAGGAGAAGGGATTCAGGTAGAGGCTCCAGATGCCTTCTGGCTTGTGACCTGAACACTGTTAAAGGATCTAGGAATTGCTTAGTTAAGATTTCTATAGTTTCCAGGAGAGAGATATCTGGTTCTCTTCATTAGATATGGTCCCAAAAGGGGGCCAGGTGGGAAATTTGGAGGAGCCTAGGTCCTCATGAGTCCTGGCGTGTCAGCTGCAGGTCAGCCTATCTGCTCTCAGACTGCACTTCCTTGCCTGGGCCTGTTTAGGCAAATAGCCAAAGAAAGCAGGCAATGTGTATTGGTACTGTGAAGCCTAGTTCTAGGCTGAATCATGCCCTGCTGCCATCTTGCTAACCTTCATAACAATCCCATCGATTATATCTTTCCTCCTTTGTGATATGAAATCTGTACCTCAAGAAGACCATGCAATCTTCCTGAGTCCTGAGAGGGCCCTTAGCCTCCAAACCATTTACTAGTTTTGTTTTGTTTTGTTTGTTTATTTTACTGTGCTGGTTCCTGCTTTGGAGAAGGAGCAACAGGGTCATCCAAACAGCAGCAGCAGCCCTGACTGTGTTTTGATATACTCAAGCTATGATGGCAGAAGGTTGCCACTAGTCAGCCATGCCCAGCCTCCTTGGCTAGTGCTAGCCAAGGGCATAGGCAGAGAAAGTTTGGAAAGCAGCTAAGGTCTGGGTGACACATTGGAGGAAAATAACGGCGATGGACAGGGAAGGCAAAGACAGAAAAGGAAATGTGGCAGCTACTGCCAGCAGTTTGCCTCTTCCCCTCTTTGGTAGGAAAGGCAGGAAGGGAGAAAGAAGGAAGAAGGACATATGTGGCTTGAGCAAATGACTAAAGGCCCTTTGAAGCTCAAGCTTCACTTTTTATGAGACAAATTGGTTCCCTATTTTATCTGCCTAGAAAACTCAGCACTCTATCAGACTAGCCTAGACTGTTGCATCTAATTAGTGAGAGAATGAGTCAGATGAAACAGCTTTTACTTATTGCATTGGTCCAAGCCCATGCTGGAAAGAACATTCTAGTAACCCAATGTTGGGCTGCACAACTCTGGCCTCTGTGTCATCTTTACT